TTTGTAGAGTATAACCGAACGAGAGTGAATCAAAAGAAAGAAGGCAGGAGCAAAAAAACCCAAATTGCCAAATTGGGTTCTAATAATGTCCGTCAGAGTTGTTCAATGAAATGATCAGTAGTAGCAGTCGTCGATCATGGACAGGTTCAAACTTGAGTCAAAAGGGTGTATCCCCCGAGAGAATGATACTCGTGTTATTGATGACAAAAGAAAATAACCAAGTATCATCTTTGAAGCTAACAATCAACCGATTCGGGGAACTCAATCAGTATTTGATGAAGTGGATGCAAGTCCTATGTTCATCTTCACATTAACAGTTTTTGGGTCACTATTCACGATGGTCAAGACAGGATTCACGCCATTCACACTAGAGCCATTAACAACAATTTCCTTTTTTGGTGCTGATTTAGAAGTTCCATTCACTCCTACGGAAGATGAAAATTCGGTGTTATTCTCATTTTGATCGTTATCTTGGATTTTATAGACAAATTTGTCATCTTCGTCATCTCCTTCGTCATCTCCTACGTTAACTCCTACGCCAATTTCTTCGTCATCTCCTACGTCAACTCTTTCGTCAACAATTCCTTCATCCTCTCTTTCGTTATTCTTTCCTTCCTCATATACAAACAATTCTTCATCTTCATCTTCAACATCAGTATTTGAAGTTTTTTTCATCTCTTCACTTGAAGGTTTATAAACAAAGCCGCCTTCATCATCTTCCTCCTCGTTGCCATCATCATCTTCAGCTTTAGCTTTATGCTGACCATCATCGTCAATAGTATCGTTACCAGTGTAAACAAATTTCTGCTCATCTCCATCATCTTCTAGTTTACTTTCAGTAGACGGATCATCATATTTTCCATTTTTGCTCAAATCAGCAAATGTTGATAAATTCATGTTATTACCAGCAGGATTCGAGAAGCTCTGAGATCGAGGGAAAAAAGCGGGTGCATGGGGATTGAGTGAAGGCGCCGCTAAGGATGGCGCGGATCCTGATTGCTGTATGGGAATGGGCGCAATGCCATTGCTACCTAAATTGGAACTGGTACGATTGGGGATAGGGATAGATTTCGACGTGGTGAACCTTGATTCACTAAGGGTCGTTGTTTTATTTGGTATATCTATCATTTCGGTGCTAGTAAATAGTGGTTTTACTATAAATGGGGTGATTGCTGGCTCAGTCGGCCTTTCAGTTTCTTTTATACTATTTATATTATTAGTATTAGTCATAGGAAGATTCGTGATCTTGGCAGACGATTCACCCATTTCACTATTTTTTATTATAGGTTGTTGCGATGACGTGGAAGAAATAGAAGGTAGCTTGCTTGACGACGCCTTAAGATCATAAGCAAATCCATTTGGTCTATCATTCAAGTTTTTAGTTTCATCAGGTTTTTTTATCGTAAGGTCATTCAACGAAGCTTTTACTACTTCAATATTATCACCACTGTCCGAACTTGCGATATCATCACGGCCAATGCTAACGACGTCATCTTCTTCCTCTTCCTCCTCCTCAAAATCATCATCAACAATTGACAACTGTTCTCCCTCTCCTAAAGGTTCAATCTCTATACTCTCGTCGATTAACTGTTGTTTTGTGAGATAAACCCTCGAAACCAACCAGTGATATAGACCATGATCTCCGAGCCCCAAGCATGTAAGATCTGGAGGTGGTAATAGTTTATTTCCGTCTAAAACAATAGGATCCTTATTACGAGATGCATTGTTTGTTGATTTTCTTATCA